GAGCTTGAACCATGGTACTTGCAGTTCAGACCAACTTTGCACTCCAGTACATTAACCCATAGTGCCATGCCAGGACTCCAGAAAGATGTTTACCTGTGCTTTATTGATTATGCAAAGGCTTTTGATGGCATGTGTGAGAAATGTCTATACTGACAAACGCTCGAGTAATCCAATCTGTATTCATTTTAGTGTGAGGGTTTTTTTTTATTCTATTTTGCAAAATCAGGCACCCTGCCCCATAGACAAGGGCAGACACACGCTGCATGGCCATTTGACAAAGAGTGTCATCAACCTAACTCAGAAAAAGCCCCTCCTCCATTTCCCCTTTACTGGGTACTTTGGAGTTTACAGTCTTCCCATTTTTCCCAAATGGCCCTACTAGTCCCTACAGGGAGCATTCTCATTTAAAGTTAGTTTTACCCCCTTCCCCATGAATGTCCCCTACTTCCTTGATGGGTGTATTCTTATTTTAAAGAGTCTAGTAGGTCAAACTAGTCTCTTCCTTTTCTTATTGTTCCCTTTTGTCCTGCCAACTTGCGCTACCCCCAATATATCCTTGATTTTGAAGATGGATCACCCCAACAGCTATTTCTCACACATGGATCATGACAAGCTGTGGACAGCATTGCCAAGGATGAGTATTCCAGAACACTGAATTGTACTCATGAGGAACCTGTACATAGACCAAGAGGCAGCTGTTCAAACAGAACAGTGGAACACTGAATGGGTTATAATCAGGAAATGTGTGCACCAGGGTTGTATTCTTTCACCATACTTACTCAACCTGTATGCTGAGCAAATAATCTGAGAAGTTGGATTATATGAAGAAAAATGTGGCATTAGAGGAAGACTCATTAACAACCTGTGATATGCAGATAATACAACCTTGCTTGCTGAAAGCCAAGAGGACTTAAAATATTGATGAAGATCAAAGACCTTTGGGTTGTACCTCAATGCCAAGAAAACAAAAATCCTCACTACTGGACCAATAAACAACATCATATAAATTAAGAAAAGATTGAAGTTGTTAAAGACTTCATTTTGCCCGGATCAACCATCAACACTCATGGAAGCAGCAGACAAGCAATTGAACAACGTATTGCATAGGCAAATTTGTTGTACAAGACCTCTTTAAAGTGTTTAAGAACAAAGATGTCAGTTTGAGGACTAAGGTGCACCTGACCCAAGTCATAGTATTTTCAATAACCTCATAAGCATGTGAAAATTGGACAGTGAGTAGGGGAAGACTGTAGAAGAATTGATGCATTTGAGTTATGGTGTTAGAGGAGAATATTAAAAGTACCATGAGGGGGGACTACAAAGACAAGAAGTGACTGGCTTACAAGCTATTCAATCTGGGTGGAGCTGATGAAAGGAGTTACAGATGGGTAACTCGTGATACTGTAGTGAATAATGCTTATCAGGATGGATTATGAGGGTTGGAAATGCAAAGGTAGAAGTTTTGTAACAAGGAAGGGAGTGATTAATTCTCCAGGATAGGAGCAGAGGCCTCTGGGACCATCAACGGAGAAGAGCCAAGAGTGGGACCCTACCCAGAGAAACAGATGCCTGAGATGGAGACAGAGATGATGACATGGAGTGATGAAGTGACTGGGGACTTGGGACCCAGAGAGGGAAAGGGACTGTGGGCCGAAAACTGAGGGGAGGAGGGGGAAGTGTAGGGGGCGGGTTTCTGGGATGTACCCTTTGGGTGGTTGATGATGCATGGAGGGGATTGGAACCATGGCAATGAGATGATATACGATGGAATGAATGTAAAACTAAAGTTCTGCCATGTAAACTCTCATATAATTCACAATAAAACATTAAAAAAACAAAACAAAACAAAAATACCATGGACTGTCAGAAGAACAAACCAATCTGTGTTGGAAGACATACAGCTAGAATGCTCCCTGGAAACCTGGAGGGCCAGACTTTGTCTCTCATACTTTGTACATATTATCAGGAGGGACCAGTTCCTGGAGAAGGTTATCATGTTTGGTCAAGTGGAGGGTCGGAGAGAAAGAGAAACCCTAATGAGATGGATTGGCACAGCAGCAGCAGTGGGCTCAAGTGTAGCAGTGATTTTGAGGCTGGTGCAGGACCGGGTACTTGTTCATTCTGTTATGCATAGAGTTGCTATGCATTGGTATCAACTCAATGGCACCTAACAACAACTACAACAACAGTGTGCCCTAATCTGTAAGCTCAGCTGAATCCTGTCTACCATGGGCATACCCTGCTGGTATTTAAAATACTAGTGGCATAGCTTCCAGTACCATAGTAACAGTCAAGCCATTATAACACAACAAACAAACAGTAGCTGGTATATTGTAAAAAAATATGGAAATTATATATATATACTTTATTTTTTAGAGATGAGGAAACAGGCACAGAGGATTTAGGAAATTTGCCTAATACTCCTAGTACATGTAGTAAGTAGTAGTTGCATAGTCTACACCCTTAAATATTATACCCTAGCACCCTAGCACTGAATGGAGGTATTTACATGAATAACTATGAAGGAGGTAGGTGAGGGAATCCCTGAATTAAGTTGTATGGAAGCATCATGTGCTCAAGATGTTCATCTTCCTTCTGCTATGGTAAATGAAGCTTGTGGCCAGCAGTTTCTGGAAGAGGGATCCATGGATTAAGCAAGGGCAGAAAGTCTGGGTCAGCCAGGCAGCTTTCAGGTTCTCAGTTCCTAGTTCTTTTCACCTTCCTCTCTGCCCTTCCTGGGAGCCCAGTGTGTATTTTGTAAATAGCAATTTAAAATGGAGAATTCTTGCTTAGCCTCAAGGAATTTAAGTAATTGGTTTATTGAATTCAGCTCAACAGATTTACCTGGGGCAATTCTCCTGCCGGGCTTTGGGATTATAGGGTGAATTCTGAGTCTTTCAGGATTCCTGGGAGTCCTGGTGTGGCCCTGTGGGTGAATACGCCAGACTGCAAAGCCGTTTGAACTGCAATGTTGGGTGGTTCAAGCTCACCAGCTGCTCCTTGGAAACCCTATACAAGGTTGCTATGGGTCAGAACCAACTCGACGGCACTTAACAACAATAGGATTCCTGGATGCCCTTAGTTTAAATGAGGAAATGCACAAGCAAGTCATTAGGAGATTGTGGACAGCTGAAAGGGAATTAGGCCGATGGGAGGGTTAATGGCACAAGCCAAAGGAAGGAGGCCAGGCCATTTCTTTTAGCCAAGGGTGGAGAATGTGAAGTAAGGAATTTGCCCTGAGGGGCAGAAGAGCAAACAATGGGAGAGACAAGCAAAAAACCAAACCCACTGCCAGGGAGTAGATTCCTACTCCTAGAGAGCCTGTTTCAGAGGGTTTCAGAGGCTGTAAGTCTTTACGGAGCAGAAAGCGCCTTCTTTCTCCTGCTGAGTGGCTTGTGCATTCAAACTGTTGACCTTGCAGTTAGTAGTCCAGTGCTTATCTTACAGTGCAACCAGAACTCCTGAGAGAGAAGGATCTTAAATTCGGGAGAGACGGGGTGGGGTTTACATTTATTAAATTCGCTTGGGCCACCAGGACCTGTTGAATTGGCGGCTGGAAAGAAAGGTTCTGGTGCGGGTAAGCCTTTAGGACGGGGGTGGGTGGGGGTGGGTGGCTATAGGGACCGAGAAGCTTGGCTGGGACTAGTTCTGGGTTTTTTGCACAGGCAGTTTTCCCATCCTCGTGCCTCTCTCTTTTCTCGGTCTTTGCTGTGTGGCCCGCTTACTACAACCAGCTCAGTCATAAGGTCGTCCCAAGTCCTAGCTAAGTCGCCACCGTGAGCACGGGTCATTCCCCAGCCCTGGGACTTGGGGCCTCAGGGCCTGTGCAGCCCCGGTCCCGCCCCGGCCAGCTGGCCCCGCCCCAAGCCCCGCCCGGCCCCGCCCCCGCACAGTCTGCCCGCCCGCGCGCTGGGCCCGGTAGGCGCCTAACCTCTTGGCGCGAGATAGGAAAGTGCTTCTGTGCGCGCCGGCGGTGTCTGGAGCTCCAGCGCACCGGCCGCGGAACCTGCGGGCCCGCTGGCGGATCCGAACACAGCTCCGCGCTCCGAGAGGTCGGAGCAACCCTTGCCCTGGCCCCAGCCTCGGCCTGGCCCCGGCCCCGGGCTTATCCGGCCAGCGGACTGGTGCAGCGCGACTCGGGGGGATGTCTCGGCGGACGCGCGGGTGAGTGGGTCTGGGCGGACTGAAGGCCCTCTCACCGTCCCATCCCCCTTCCACCTTCATGGCCACCTACATACACTGTATTTCCCCTTACCTCACCTGGCCACACTGCGCCGTGCGTGGAGGAGGGGGCTTCCGCGGGAAATACTGTGTCCTGGGCGTCCCGGGGCAGGGGCGCGCGCAGAGCCAGGGGTCTCTTGAGGACCTCTGGCTCCGGGCTTGCTTGGTGTCGGTGCCTAGGCGGGCGGGTCTCTTGAGGCCCGGGCCAGGCCTGCATGATGTCATTTTGTCTCCCGCCTAATTGCGGGGTGGGGGTGGGACGACCGGTGTCAGCTGGAAAGACCTTTACAGGGGAGAGAGACCACCTCCGGAGAGGGAAAGTGTCTCCCCTAGTCTCAGCGAGCAGGAGGCCCAAACCTGAAAGATAGTTGGCCACTTTTGGCCCTGATTTCACGGTGAACCTTTCTCCCCAACTTTCTGGGAAGCTCAGAGCACCCCAAACCCTCCCCTCTCTTCCACCGTCTGAGGAGGGGGCTCTTTTGTCTCCCCAACCTGGGCTGTGCGCCCGGCTTGGTTTCGTTCTGGAACCCTTTGTGTTCCATGCCAGGAGCAGCTGGGGTTGAAGGTGAGGGGAAGAGAATAAAGTGTGTCAAGGCTGCTATGTGCCAGAGGTCCCTGGGACAGCCAGAGCCCTGGTCTCCATTTTACTTGGTCCCCAGAGAATGAAATTAAGCCTGGAGCCCCGGCTGTGGGCCATCCATTGCCTTAATCACAGCAGTGTGCCTGGGGCCTGAGCTCTTGAGAAGGTTGGAGGACAATGAATGAGGCCTTCCCTCTCAGAATACTCCCAGCCCAGCTCAGAAGCTCAGAGGGCCTTCTGAGGTGGAGGATGGAGACCTGTGGATTCATCACTGCTAGCTTTTCCTACTTACTTTCAACGGGGACATGCTGAGTCCAGTGCCTAGGGACAGTGACCCTGGCACAGGGAGACTAGTGTCCTAGGAGTCGTTTTCAGGGCCCTGTAAGCACTCAAAAGTGTTTTCCCAGGTCCTCCATCACTCCCTCTACTCAGTGGAGACCCCTGCTCCCATGTGAGAGATGGGGCTTGGATCCTGTACCACAGCCCTCTACTCCTAACCTGGCCACTTGCTGTAACTCTCCTCTGCCCCAGTGCCCTAGTTCTTGCTCTGCTTCTGACCCACCCAGTCCTGGAGCAGAGCCCAACACAAGGAAAGGCCAAAGAAAGAAAGGGTGTGTTGGGTAGAAAGTGTTTGCCGCCATTCACTTGCCCTCTGCTTTTTCAGCTGGGATTTCTAGGTGTGGGAACTTGAAGGGGTAGAGTTCAGGAAATTCTAGGCCCAGCTCTGTGGACTTGTAAAGTAAACTTTCAATTTCCACATCTATTAAATGGGAGTAGTTTAATGGCAATGCATGGTGTAAGTAATAGAATCTCTGTAGGTTCTCCCAGTTGTCTGAGATGCTGTACAGAGTGTCATGCAGGTACCCTTTGACCCTTGAAGAAACCCTTGCTGAGTTTCTATGAGTAAACAGATTGTTTCCATCAATGAAGTATCTGTGGGCAGTTGATTCTTCTCCCCCTGTATAATATATAACAAAACATTTGTCATTTCAACTTTTTTTTCATGGACAAGTCAATAATAGTAATTAATGTTCATCATGTTCAACCACCACCACGACCTGTTTTCATAGTTTTCTTTCACCCTTAAAAGCTCCCTGAGCTATGAGTCTGGGCCAGTAGATTTTAACTCCAGCTTCATTCTCCTAGAGTGTTATGTAGATGTATTGCCTCCTGTTTGAAGTGCTTGACTGTGAGCCAAAGGCTGCTGGTTGAAACCTACCCAGGGGCTTCATGTGAGACTTTCCCCCTGAAGACTGTTATTGTATTCCATTGATTCTGACTCATAGTGACCCTATAGAACAGGCTAGAAGTGCTGCCCCACAGGGTTTCCCAGGCTGTCTCCGTACAGAATCAGACTGCCTTATCTTTCTCTTGAGCAGCTGGTGGGTTTGAACTTTTGTTTATCAGCCAAGCATTTAACCACAGTGTCTTCTGGGTTTCCTTTGTTGTTAAGTGCCATTGAGTCAGTCCCGACTCATAGAGACCCTGTATAGGGTTTCCGAGGAGCAACTTGTGTGTTTGAACCATCAACTTTGTAGTTCAGACCGACCATGAAGTCAAGTACTTATCCTTTGGTGCCATACCAGGACTCCAGGAGACGTTTACAGCCTAGAAAATCTTAAGGAGGCAATTGGACACCAACAGCATGAGTACCACTTTGCCATGGAATGGGAATGGTGGGACAGGGCTGAACTTCAGTGCCTCTCCTACCTCTAAAAATTTACGTGAATTAGAGCTCTGGTAGCGTACTGGTTACTAATTGGGCTGCCAACCTCTAGGTCAGCAGTTTGAAAGTACCAGGGGTTTGAAAACCCTAGACCTAGAGGCGTTTTGCTCCCGTACCGATTTATAGCCTTGGAAACCCTGTGCAGGGTCACTATGAGTCCGAATTGACTCCACAGTACTTAACAACAACAACAACCTTAATAAGCAGCAGCCTGGCACCTGCATTCTTCCACGTATGCACCGCCTGTCAGCCCCCAATGATGACAGTGATTGCAGCGGAGAGCTTACATTCGGGGATAGCAGGGCTTCCCATGGGCCATGGGAGGTCCCCAGTGTGCTGTGGAGCTCCAGGAGTGACTTCAGGAAGCAGTGCTGAGTTCTGGAGAAAGGGACAGGAATGTGCATATGGGAGGAAGCCGCCTTCCTACTTTCAAATACAAGGACTGCACTTGTCTGGGCTATGCAGAGATGAGTGGGCTTTTCTGGTTTAGGAGCATCCCTCCCAGAGGTGACCAGACACAGGTCCTGCTGCGTGGAGTTGGGAAAGGCTCTTAAGCTTCCATGAGCACGTGATCGTCTTTAAACCTTATAATTATGAAAATTTTTGTCATATTGAAAAAAGATTAAGTGGAATCTGAGTGTTGATTGTTGGTAGGTGTCGTCCTTATACATAACAGAATGAAACACTGCGCCCTCCTCACAGTTGTTATGTTTGAATTCACTGTTAGTGCAACTGTACCAATCCATCTCACTGGGGATTGCAAAAACTGAAAGGCTGGGTCTGACTTCCCCTGACTTCACTTCCCCTGGCTTCACAAGGGGGAAAGAGAATCAAACTCAAAATCAGCCCAAGGCTGATTCCTATGAAGCAGAGGTCAGACATGCTTCCAGCCTACAACCTTTACTCTGAAACCAGCCTCCCTCCTACAGCACTCTTCTTCACATCTGTGTTCCACAATCCATTGCAGTGACCACACAGAACTCATAACAATGCTCACAGTTAGGGGGTTTTTAGGGAAGTGAACAGGGTACAATTCAGGATCAGAAAAACACAGGATGCAGCAATTTTCCAGTCAGGAATACCTCTTGTCTGCCATACAGCAGGTATTCCTCGCTCTTCCACCTCTCAGTCTTGTGGCCCCTTGACCTCTGCCTTGCTCAGGCAAGTGTTAACAAAGCTCTTTTAACCAGTCTGAATGCCCAAAGAGCACATTCTGCAAGCCAGGCTCCTGTATGCTGCAGTAACTGTCATCATTGGGGACCAGCTCTGCCACCCTAGGGACCAGCCTGTAGGGACCCAGCTTTCCCTAGTACCTGGGCCTAGTGCCCTCATTGGCTGTCTCTATACCACTGCCTCAGCCGGTGCTGCTTTTCTTGGTAGGGATTTCACACTCCACCCGTGCTCGCTCTTGATGGTCCTGTGATCATCTCTTCCTGCTTCTGAGATGGCTCATTTTAAAGCTAGCGGGATGGCAAAACTAACCAGTCCCAGACTTACAGTGCTGTACACCTTAATTGCATCACTTGTTGGAATTATGGATGGTACTGGTGTTGGTTATGCACTGTGGAGTTGTTTGCGATAGAAAAGCCATTATCAGGTAAATTCAAGGTACCTCAGGTCTCTTCCTCTTTTTCACTGACCTTCCACTCTACCAAGCATGATGTTCTTCTCCATGGACTGGTCACTTCTGATGATAATCATGTCTGAAATATGAGAGATCCTGCCTTCTAAGGAGCATTCTGACTGATTTTCTAACATAGATCTGTTCTGGCAGTCCATGGTACTTATATTCTTCACCAACACCAAACTCAAATGCATCAATTCTTCTATGGTCTTCCTTATTCACTGTCCAACTTTCATATGTATACGAGGTTATTGAAAATACTATGACTAAAACATTCACCTGAATGTTTTAATACTATCATGAGTTTTATAAGGTGAAAGCTTACTTTGTGTAGCTTTTGAAGTCATTGGAGTTTTCTTTACAATAAAGAAAAAACAAAAATAGCCATGTTGTTGTGAAGTGCCATCTAGTCAATTCTGAACCATAGTGACTCTGTATAGGGTTTCTGAGGAGCAGCTGGTGAGCTCAAACTGCCGACCTTGTAGTTCAAACAGCTTTGCAGTCTGGCGCATTAACCCACAGCGCCACCCCAGGGTTGTTAAGTACCCCTAATCTTGACTGACCACTGCCAGCACACAGTGCCCACCTGTCATGTAGCAGCCTGTGGAGATGCATGGTCTTGACCTTTAGTGTGCTCTCCCTGCAGTGAGGAGCTGGATGAGCCACACTACCAGGACACAGACTCCGATGTGCCCGAGCAGAGGGACAACAAGTGCAAGGTCAAGTGGACCCACGAGGAGGTGAGTGACATGGCAGTACTGGGGGAAGGATGGCAGCTGGGGGGCCCACGAACAGAGCCTGGGGTATCTGCCCGATAGCCCGACTGGGAAGATGAAGAAGAAGGAGGGCATGAAGGAAGCGGGCTGGTCCTCTGGTTCAACTTGATACTTCTTAGCATTCTTGGTGGTGGCTGTGTGTTATGGAATCGGTTCCAACTCATAGTGACTCTGTACAGGGTTTCCAAGGCTGTAAATCTGTACAGGAGCAGAAAAGCTTCATCTTTCTCCTACGGAACAGCTGGTAGTTTCGAATAGCTGACCTTGTGGTTCACAACCCGATTAGTAACCACTACGCTACCAGAGTTTCTAGTATTCTTGGGAACTCTTAATTCTGAGGAACCTTGGTGGAGCTATGTCCCTCAGACCTCAAGGCCAGTAGTCTCTGCCACGATTGTGGAGGTGCTTTCATTCATGGACATTGTTATGTTTTCATGTTCACAAGGTATGGCCTGTCTCATGGCTCCCTTTTCCCTTTAAAAAAATTTATTTGATCTTGTGACATAAGAGTCTGAATTGATTTTCTTCTGGCTACATCTTTTAATCAACTTTATTGAAAAAAGACTTATTTGTAATCAAATGTACTCTTTATTCTATTTTTTTACATTTTATTTTGTTCTTGAGACTATACATAGCAAATCCACTGCCATGAAGTTGATTCTGACTCATAGCGGCCCTGTATAGGGTTTCTGAGACTGCTGACCTGTGTTAGCAGTATAGTGCCTATCCTATAGCACAACCAGCTTCATTTATACATAGCAAAGCAATTCAAGAGTTTCTATACACACCATTTAGTGCCATTGATTGCATTCTTGGAGTTCAACCATTCTCACATTCACTACCCGCTAAGGTTCTTTGCTAATCTTCCAAGTTGCTTTTGTCACTTTCATCCCATACAGATAGCTCTTCAAAGAGTATAATGATCAAGGCAGACCTTTTTTTTTTTTTAACTAGTTAGCAATACTATTGTTTAATTTTAAGAAGATTTCAGAGGATATTTTTGGTTTAAGTTTTAAAAATGGATGTATGGCAGTAGTTTCAGGGAGTTCGTTCAACTTTGTCTCCAGGAAGTCTGCATTCCATGACAGTGAAATTCTGCCCTGCATTTCCTTTTTTTTGATTAGGATTCTTCTATGGAACCTTGGATCAAATGTTCAGTAATGGTATCCAGGCCCCATCTAGTTGTAGTCACAGGCAAAGAAGATAGTTGCAATTAGTCACACATTCCATATACTCCTCCTGTTCCTGACTCCTTCCTCTGTCCTCCAGGTGAACAGATATCAGTTGTACCTTGGATGGCAGCTTGTAAGCTTTTAAGACCCTAGGCACTGTGCAAGGGACTAGGAGGTAGAGCAGAAGCACTAATCAATTAACTAGGATGTCCCATCAAACCAGGACCCTAAACCTCCTAACCAAGGATCCAAATCCCATGAGGTGTGATTGTACATAAGCAGTCTCAGCAGCTACACTGGTTTTCAGATGTATAACTTATTGACAGAAACTACAGAAGTCAGCCTTGCAACCCTTCCCTTAGTGTGACTTTTCTACCACTGTTCACTCTCCTCTTTTCCTTTCCCTCCCATCTCTTGTTAAGTTTCGACTCATAGAATGTTAGGATTTCCAAGGCTTTACATCTTTGAGGTGGGCAGAAAGCCTCATCTTTCTCCGGTGGAGCGGTTGGTGGACTTGAACCGTGGATCTTGTGGTTTGCAGTCTAGTGCTTAGCATATGGAGCCATGGTGCCCCATAGTTACTATCTCTGGTAACTGCTAATAAACTTTGTTCTCTATATATGGAAAAATTCCATTATCTTTTAATCCAGTATTCCCAGAAACTTTTTGAAAGCCCACATATGTTTGCCTTTTCTTGTCTTGTTCTGTAAGTGAGGTCATACAATATTTGTCCTTTTGTGATTAGCTTATTTGACTCAGCATGTCTTTAAGCTCCATCCATACAGTAGCATGTTGTTAACTGCCGTCGGGTCAGTTCCGACCCATAGAGACCCCTGTGTAGGATTTCCAAGGAGCAGCTGGTGAGCTTGAACTGCTAACCTTGCAGTTCAAACAGCTCTGCAGTCTGGCGCATTAACCCACAGCGCCACACCAGGACTCCACAGTAGCATGTACCAAGACTTCATTTCTCCTACTGGCTGAGTAACATTCCATGTGTGTATGTACCGCATTTCGTTTATTCATTCATCTAAATAATTGAACACTTAGGTTGTTTCCAATTTTGACTGTTGTGAACAGTGATGCAGTGAACGTTGGTATACAAGTCTCCTTTTGAGTCTCTGCTTTCACATCTTCTGAGTATATATGTAGGAGTGAAATTGCTGGGTGATGTGGTAGTTCTGTTATTTTTAGTTTTTGAGGAATCGCTACACTATTTTCTACAGTAGCCAAACCATTTTGCATTCCCACCAATAGATAAGGAGCCCTGGTAGCTTAGTGGTGTATGAGTTGGGCTGCCAACCTCAAGGTCAGCAGTTTGAATCTATGAGCCGCTCCATGGGAGAAAGATGAGGCTTTCTGCTCCTACAAAGATTTAACAGCCTCAGAAACCCTACATAGGGTCTCTGTGAGCTGGAACCGGACTCCATGATACACAAACACCAGTTGCAGCAATAAGGTTTCCAGTGTCCCCACATCCTTGCCAGTATTTGTTACATTCTGGTTTTTATCTTAGCCATCCTGGTGGTGTTGGTTATGTGCCATGGAGTCAGTTCTGACTCATAGTAACCCTGTATAAGGTTTCATAATGGGGAGTAAAATGGTATCTCCCTGTGGGTTTGATTTGCATCTCTGACGGCTAATGATGTGTTTGGTGGACATTTGAATGTCCTCTTTGGTGAACTGTCTTTTCAAGTCCTTTGCCCATTTTATAATTGGATTATTTGTTTTTTTTGTTAGATACACAATTTCAGAAGCTATTCTTTGCTTTTGTGATAAAGTCTTTTGATGAACAAAAGTTTACAATTTTTTATGGGATCCCATTTAATTCGTTTTGTCTTTTGTTTGTGCTTTTGTTAACTATATTAGATAGTTCATTGTCGAAAGCTAGGCCTGACAGTTTTCTCAGAATTTTATGATTTTAGTTTGTAGGTTTAGGTCCTGAATCCGTTTTGAATTTGTGTTTGTGTGTGATATGAGGCATGGATCCTATTTTATCTGTGGAAATTCAATTTTTTCAGCACCACTTACTGATGAGACTATTCTTTCCCCATCAAATGGACTGAGCAATCTTGTAAAAAACCAGTTAACTGTAGATGTGTACGTTTATTTCTGGAGTCTCACTTCCCTATTAGTGTTGTTGTACCTGAACTGTACAGGCTGTTTTGATTACTGTAGCTATTTTAAAATCAGGAAGTCTGAGTCTTCCTACTTGGTTCTCTTTCAATCTTACTTTAGTTATTGAGAGCCTCTTGCTAGTCCATACAAAGTTGAGGATGGTTTTTCTACTTCTATAAAGAAGGCTGTTAGAATTTTGATTGGGATTGCATTGACTCTCTAGATTAATTTGGGGTGGTATTGGCATCTTAAGCCTTCCAGTCCATGAGCATGGAACATCTTACCATTTATTTAAGTCTTCTTTAGTTTCTTTCAGGAGTGTGTCATAGTTTTTATTATATATATAAGTCCTTCATGTCCCTTTGTAGATTTATTCCTAGATATTTTATTCTCTTAGATGCTATAGTAAATGCAATTGTTTGCCTAATTTCTCACTGAGATTTTTCATTATTAATGTGTGAAAACGCAACTGATTTTTGTTGACCTTGTACCCTGCAACTTTGGTAAATTCCTCTATTAGCTGTATAAGTTTTCTTGTAAACTCTGGGGTTTTCTATATGTGAGATTGTGGTGTAGTGAATTATTTAATATGTCTCTTTTTTAGCCTTAGTCTTTGTAACTGACTTTTCCTGGTGGGTCTGGGTAAGAAAAAGTGGGAGAAGATACTGACAGAATGACACGATTCTACTGTGGACTCTTTAACAGTTCATTGTAATTGTGAAAACCTGGACCTGTTAATATGTATAAAATGAGCCATCTCAGCAGCAGTAAGGGGCATCTTACTACCACCAAAGAAGAAGAGCCAGGATGGAGCTTGTCTGTTGAACACAGAGATCCCAGCATATTGGATCTCCTCAACCCAGGTCAGAAATCTGTGACACTGGAGAGGTGCCAGAGGAGCAGCAGCAGCAGCAGCTGAATCAAGAGTTCGTGGAGCAAGAGACGCTGAGTGACTTTGGGCAGGAGGCTTGCTTGCAAAGTATGGTGCCTCCAGGAACTTAATTGGGGAAACTAGTCTTCTGACTCATGGAGCTAGAACTGAGTGCCTTCAGGTTGAGGCTTGTGGAGTGATGTGTCTGTCCTGTGTGCATTTTATCAGCAGCCCTGAAAGAGCTTTGTAATATTGCCTGGGCAGAGAGTGGCCTGCTGGTGCATGGTTGGCAAGAGGCTGGCCTGACTGGAAGAACTGTGCCCTGAGCATTTTCTGATCCTGTATTTGTAACCTCTTAACTTCCTAAATAAACCTACTATATTAGGAGTCCTGGTGTGGTGCTGTATGATAAGCACTGGACTCTCAGTGGTTCAAACCAACCAGCCGCTCCTTGGAAAGCTTTTATAGGGTCTCTATGAGTTGCAGCTGACTGGATGGCTGTTAACAACAACAACAACAATGATGTCTTTGAGTTCTGTGTGGGCATTGCAATGAATCAACGAACCCAGAGTGCTGTGGGAGGGATGTTGGTGACATTTTTTGCAGGGATCATATCTGTGAATAGAGATAATAGTATCACATCTTTTTCATGTTCGATAGCTTTTATATCCTTTTCTTGTTTTACTGCTCTGGCTAATTGAAAAAATGGAATTGAATAGAAGTGGCAAGTGCGGCCACCCTTGTCTTGTTCTCAGTTTCCAGGGGGACACTCAATCTTTGTCCACTAAGTATAATGTTGATTGGTG